TTCGCCTTGCAAATGCCTCCCTCGACCCACACTGCAGAGACAAACGGGACGGTGAGAATTCATGCGAGCTGCAGCAGCCGAGTCCGTAAGGAATGGGAGCACCCCAGACAAGTGCCAAGGGGGTCTCCACGGAAAGAAAACAGAAGCCGGGAGAACACCAGCACTTTACTTTTAATACAGTCTTTCATCTCTGGATGTCAAAACACAGCACAGCCAATGAAGGCTTGATGCTCCGTGGGGTGTGGCACACGTTACGTGATTCACCCAACGTCACACAGTTATTGGAAGAGCTAGAAACAGAACCCAGGAGTCCTGGCTACTAGCGCTAGCTCCTTGATTTAACCATCAGATGGAGACTCCTTCCCCACGATGGTTTAAGGAACCTTTTCAGAAGGCCTAACCAGGGAGCTGAATTTCAGCAGGCCCATGCTGACTCAGGGAGAGGGAGGTATCTGAACTGGAGGAAGCAGTCCATGATGGAGTCACTCTTTGCAGCACCATGTTAGTCCTAACTGGGGGCAGGCAGATACGCAGCAGCCCCCACATCATCAGTCCCATCAGGTCAAAGCAAAGGGCCGCAGCGCCCATGCCAGCCCGATATCAGCAGAGCCTCTAAGCTGGCTGTTCAGTCAGCGCCAGGCAGGATTAATGCATGACAGCAATTCAGGACAGTGGCAGAAGCATGCGCTGTGATGGCAGGTGTTCAAAAGTGGCAGCATTTGCCTTGCAAAGAGGAGATGAATTGTTGTATCCTGGCAAGAACCAGCAGAGCCCAAAGCAGAAGGGATCATAAGCCCAGGTGCTAGGGCATGTGGCAGTCCTGGGGCAATGCTTGCCCCTCCCCAGAGCATCCAACAGCTCAGCTGTCATTCAGGTGCTGGAAATCATGGTAACAGCAGTGGGTTTGCGGGGTGGGGACGCCAGGTGTATTCAGGTCTTTCAAAAAAGACTTCTTCATCCATGCCATGTATCCCCGGGGTTTCTATTGTCAGTGAGGAAACAGGGAGGTGAGGGGGCTGTCGTTACACACTCAAAGTACACAAGAGAATATAGGGGCAGGCAAAGACTGACAAACTGTCAATGCAGAAAACGCTGATGCTGCTCCCAGGGGAGTGCCTGGGAGATCCCCACTGCTGACGGTGCACCCAGAGGTGCAGGATCACACCCTACCAACTGCAACCTCCTCTCAAGCTGCAGTGGCGAGGACCATCTCCCTTGGCCCTTCTCCAGCCATGTCTAACCCCCGCCTGCAGGCAACACGCCCAGTTCTAACTCCCTCCTGCCCATCCAGGACCTGTGGGCATGCTGTCCCCCACTACTTGTCCTCCCTAGTGCAGGGGGGCTGGACCTGATGATCTACAAGGTCTCTTCCAGCCCCAAACAATCTGTGAATCCCTGCTTCATGAAACACCCAGCCTCCCCACCCCATTGGGTTGTTTCCTTCTAAAACTGAGGCTCACAGGAGACACTAGTTCCTGTGCGTTTGGTGTTTATGCCACATCAAAGGACAGGATTCCTTCACCCCAGTTACCAGAGGGTCACCGTTCTGCCCCAAGACCTCCAGACACTGGATAAGTCATTTCCTTCATGTGCAGCTTTGCCCTGCATATTATTTTCTTGCTCTTTTCTTTCCTTCTCCACATCTTGGGCAATACACAGTTCAAGGAATGAGACTTCACCTGCCCACCCTGGTCCAGGACTGCTTTGGACTGTAACTGCATCCAGAGTCCAACAAAGTAGCCACCTCATCATTGGCTGTGCAGAGGAGTCTTCCTGCATTTTGACTGCTAGCGATACAAGAAGCACGAGCAATACATTGGCCCTTGTGTGCTGCCCAAGCCCTGTCCCTCCGAGAGGAGGAATGCCAAGCCAAGCACCAGTTACCCCATGCTAACTTGTCAGATGCCTTTCTACCCTGATGCCTTATTTCCTTTCTGTTTACAAAAGCCCTGACTGATAATCCACCCGTGCTCACGTCAAACCACCTTAATGCTCTTGCCCTGCTTTTATTGCAGTCTGCTAATCCCAGCGCACCCTGGTCTCTCGGCCTGTCTCACTTTGGTCCGGCTCAAAATGGGGAGTGATAATTTTGCAGCTCATTGGCAGGCTCCTACCTGGGACTGTCTGTACCCCCTCACACAGCCCCTGTGCCAGCAGGCGTGCCTGGCAGTGCCCCTAGTCAGGAGGGGATGCTGGGCAAGATGGAGGTTCCTTGGCAGAGCCCCCCATGGGGCTCAGGAGCTGCAGGGCAGGGGTGCTACAGGTCAGGACCAAGGATATCCTTGGGGGTGGACAGGCTGAACTCGCACTGCTGGGGTTGGTCTAATCAGCCCTACATTTGCAGTTTGATCTCATCTGCTACAGAGAAGGAGGCAAGATCCTCGCTCGGCAGCCCTGGCTCCTTCCCCTGCTCCAGCCTTCAGGCCATTCCAGTGATACTGGCAAGCTGGCCCCTCCGGGCTAGCTGTGCAACATACCCACTGGGGAGGGTCCATCTCCGGCACCCTGCATCCACCGACCTGCATGGTGCATGCTCCAAGCCCCACACGCATCACTAAGGCACCACTGTCACAAACAAAACCCCACTGACAGCTCATAACCAAAGACGTCCGAGCCCAGAGGAACGACGGCAACCTGCAAAGGCGGAGCAGGGCTACTCTGGGGTCTCTCCTCATCTCACTTTCCCGTGCTGTTAAACTACTGCTGCAAACCTAGGCATGAGTTACCTCTGACTATTGGTTCTGCACCTTCCTGGATACCAGTGAGGTGCCTATCTGCCAGTAGGTATCTAACCCATCTTGGCCTTGGTTGCCCCCTCTCAGAGCCCCTGCGCTACAGCCCCAGCCATTTGCCTGCAGCACCGTGCTATTTTCTTTCCAAGTATTTAAGAACATGTCTCTGAGATGAGGGCTCCAACTTATGAGACGTCAGGGCCAGTGTGCTGCCTCTCACAATGGCAGATGCTTCAGAAGAACGAGGTGGATGTAATGCACTTAGCTAGTTTTACACTGCACCATGGCAGGAGATTTGGTTTCCCTTAGCTATAAATGTTACTGATCATAAGATTATCCGTGGGCCTTTTTCAGTCCAGCCACAGTGCTTGGCTCTCTTGTCCTCTATAATAATGAATCCAGTCCTGGTCACTACGGTGTCTAGGTAGAGACAGAGGCTTCTCTTTATAAATCAGCCTGCTTCTCCTATAAGGGACGTATTGCTTTAATGATCATCTGGTCTCCTGACAGCACATGGAAAAATAACCATGTAATGGAGGAACCAAGGAAGGGGAGAATCCCTCCCGGAAGGAAGGAACCAGAAGTGAGGACACCTGGGCTTCACGCCCTGCTGTCAGTGGGACCGTGGACATAGAGGCAGGTTGCTGGAGGTGAAAGAGGGTCTACGAGGTGAAGGAGGGTGGGGACAGGCAGTGCAGCTACTCTGCGGTAACTCCTTGGGTACATGCTCTCCCCCTGCAGTACATGAGCTAACCTGCAGCAGCTCAGCCTGCTCTGGCTCTGACCATCAGCTGGGATGCTTGGGGAAGGAAGGAGACTAATCTAAAGTGCAACATCAAGGCTGAAAATCCCTCCGTGCCCAGCTAGCAGGACAGCAATGGATGCTGCAGTCTCCTTCCCTCCCGTCAAAGTAACTGCTCGGTGCATGCAAGGCCTGCCGCAGAGACAAAGCCCTTCCTTTTAATACCACCAGAGATTAGAGCGATCGAAGGGGAGAGGAAACAAGGGGAGGGATCATGGGCGAGGTTCTGCACACAGGAAAACACTGCCAATGAGACTCTCCCCCTAATGCACTGTAAATCCCATTTGATTTCAAACCCCGCTGTAAAACCTGCACACATTAGAAACCATTTTAATGCTGGCCGAATGAGGCAGAATGACTCGGAGCCTAGGGAGACACAGAACTGCCCAGAGGAATCCAGAGCATGAAAGCACGGTGAAAATGGATCGAAGGGGACGGGCACGCCAGGTTCGCTCACCCGCTTTTAACTTCTGAAAGGACACAGATGGCCTCTTCCAAATCTGATCAATGGCAAAACCCTTCTGGAAGGCTGAAAAAGGCATCACATTCCTTGCTGGGCCTCTCCCTGGGGAAGCACGGCTTTCCGGCCACCTCCATGCTCGGCTGTGGTTCCAAATCCCTGACTTCTTTGTCAAGGGCAACACCTAAGTTCCCCATTTTTGGAAATGGGCCCGCTGGTTACTTTGGGCTCTCTCTCTAGGTCATCTGGCTCCCCAGAAAGTAACAACAAATGTACCATCAGCAACAAAAAATGCTGCTGTTTTTCCCCCTTGCATTTCTCACACCTGAAGGGGAGCAATTTAAAAATACTAAAGACTAGACTAGAATTATTTCAGCAGAGGCTGAATTTGAGACCCAAATTACTAGCAGAACAAACAAAAAAGCTTCAACGCCCATCACCCAGTAACCTCGTTATGTGCCACTCTCCACTTTGAGGATTACATTTAAAATGGACCAGTCCTTCAAGGCAGCATTTTCTCACAACTGTCCAGGCTGTAAGATCATTGCTGGTTCAGTCACATAACCAAGTCCTTTAAATAACCAATTCATTTCATCCCAGAACACGAGAAGCAGTGTTTTGCTCACTGCAGCACCTGAGCCAAAGCCTAACAGGAACCCAGGACACATGGCTGGTTTCCACTTGCTCCATTGTGCATTACAGTGTTAATAACCATCAGCACTTCAGCAACCTGTGACTTGCTAGTTAGAGAAGTCACTGCACAGACCAGATACAACTGAGATGCACTACAGAAGGGCCCATAAAGCAAGCAAGCAGCAGATTGCACTACCTCATGGGGAAAGGTACAGCCAGGAAGCATTCACTAGGGAAGTGTTTGATGTAGAAGAGGTGGAAGGTACTACCCCTGCAGAGAGTCACCCCCTTACAGTGGCAGCAAATAAGCATGTGACTTATTCCACCCACTGGAAACCAAACACAACCCAACGCACTTGCGCTCCCCTCTTACCATTGGCATCCTGGACTCCAGTGAGTGCTCCCACTGCTGCGGCCGTTTCACCAGACAGGACGATCTGCCCGCCACCTTGAAGGGTGGCTTCTGCAAGCGTGGCTACAGCATGGGCGGCTGCTTCACTGCAGGCAGAGGACAAGAAAGGGTGAGGCTGATTAGAAGGAAAGCAACCCAGCTCCAACAGGATCCACCTGAACAAAGTGGCGCACATAGGGAACACAAACTAGGGTGGATGGATGGGTGCTCTCACCAGCTCAAAACCGCTGAAATTATCCTGTAGGAATGGATCCTGTTAGCGGAGGAATGATGAAATGAGAACAAGATAACCTAACTGACCCATCCCATATGTACTTTTCTCCTAATCTAAGAATCCCTCTCAACTCACACTCAGCTTCTTTAGTAGCCTTTCACACAAGGCTTTGCCAAAGGCTTTCTAGCAAGTCCAGGTCACTTATATCAAGCAACTTCCCTTTGGCCACTGTTTTGTTGAATGCTCAACGAACTCCAACAGACTGGAGAGGCAGAAACTCCCTGCGCAGAAACCATCTAATTTATCTCCATCACATCGCAGGCACTTAAGTGTTTTTAAATTATGCCTTTATTTATCATTTCAACCACTTTACCTTGCCCTTAAGTATCATTCACTGGTCTGCTTTTCCCAGGATTGGACCGCCTGCCTTCCTTAAATCCAAGCTAAAAGGCTCGTTTCTCCCCAGCTCTGTTCATTAGTAATTTGTTATCCTGTTAGTGGCTCAGCTCTCCAAGGTCTTTACAACTCTTGGAGACTGTCACCCAAACCAAGTGATTTACCTTTCATAAATATGATCCAGAACCTCCTTCTTCTGAAAGCAGGATCTGACAGTTCTTCACTGTACGTATGTGAGAAAATCCTCAACAGTTTCTATGGTGAGGAGTGAGGCAAAGTCATCACACAAGACACCCTTCCTTAATAGTGCCATGCATATTCCAGTACTCCAACTGATTTCTTTTTGCAGTCTTCCTATTGCTTGACTGAGAGTAGATTCAGGCTAGATATCAAGAGGCACTACTTCACTGTCAGGGTGGCTAGGATCTGGAACCAACTTCCAAGGGAAGTGGTGCTCACCCCTACCCTGGGGGCTTCAAAGGAGGCTAGACGATCACCTAGCCGGGGTCATTTGACCCCAGTACTCTTTCCTGCCCATGGCAGGGGGTCAGACTTGATGATCTGCTCAGGTCCCTTCTGACTTTACCTAATATGAAACTATGCTTGTCTGTTTCTAATTTTTATCTGGGTTTTACGCTCCTTTTAACTAGATTATTTTGGGTTGGATTCTCATTTCTACTGGAAAGCCATTTGTCTTGGCAAACTTCCCACACATTGTTATTTAACCATTTTAATTCCAATTTCTTGCTTCTCCACTTCCTGTCACCTAGGAGGAATGCATGACTGCACTGGTATAAAGACATTTACACCAATGGTGGGAAAGGCAACACCAATATAGTAAAGTCAGGGATGAACGAGGACTTAGCTTGCTACAGTAATGCAGCCTTCCAGCCATTAAAAGGTTTTATTTAAATTCACTTTCAAGGGCAACTGTTTATTTCAAAGAGCCGTGAAGGCTGTAACCCTGAACATAAATCTTTGCCGCATAAACATTCCTCCCATTTGCACTGTGCTCCACTCATGATAATGCATATTGGCAAGGGTTAAGTCTGCCTACACATACACCCTCATCTTCTCTTCCTGGAAGAGGTCTACAGCTTCTCATATTCAGTTCACGGAATCACAGATAATGAGGGTTGGAAGGGCACTTAGGAGATCACATCTAGTCCAACCCCATGCTCCAAGCAAGACCATTCCCAAATAGATTATCCCAGCCAAGGCTTTGTCTAGCTGGGTCTTCAAAACCTCCAAGGATGGAGAGTTCACCACCCCTCTGGGTGACCTGTTCCAGTGATTCACAGATCCCTCCACCCATCACAACTGGTGCACATCAGCCGTTTACAATGGCTCTGCTCTGCAGGTGACCACTGGACACCCCCATGCTCTCTGCCAGCACCTGATGGAGGGATGGGTTATGGGATGGCAACTCCATGCTCCTTAAGGACTGTGAGGAGCAAAGCACCGGTCCAATAGCTCTGGAGATCTTGTAAGAGAACTCTGATCTTCCAGATGCCAGACCATGGTCTCACTCTCCCAAGTCCAGTCACGAGGATGATTCAGTGTTAAATGTGGAGCACACTCCTTCAGTCAACCCATAGCACGATTTCTTGCCAATCAGTGAAAGATATTAAGGGCCCTGTCAGATTTATTGCATGATTAACGTGCTCACTGACTGATAAAATGTAACATGCCACATGTTCAGAACATCTGTGGTGCAATATAATGGCAAACCAGCCACAAAGATTAAAACTGGAATATCTTTACGGCTGGTTTGTAATCGTACTTTAAACTGGAGGTGTGGCATGTGCTGGATCTGAGGCTGCCCTACCCAATCCCAAGGATCGGCTGATTGGCAAGATCAGACAATTATGTTAACACGTGTCAGGGGCCTAAGGGTCTCGGTAGGCTGGCGGCTCTATCACGGAGCCTACAGTAAGGAATACAATGCCAGGAAAAAGTGGCTGTGCTTGCAGAAACCTCACCCTAACCCCTGCAAAAATATTCAATATACACCTCCCCTTCCTGACTGCTGCCAACGCTAACACCTCGACACTTCCAGGTATTTCTGCAGGCAGCCATATTCTCCCGTATATATGGAGAGCCCCTGAATCAGCTCAGCTGTACTGCAGCTTGCTAACAAGCCCTCCTGGGGCACCATTACAGCGCTGCCATCAAAAAATAACCTGCACCATGACAGCACACGAGCCTGGACCGGGCTCTACATTTTCCCCTGTAGCACACACAGTTTCCTACCAACAGCCACCCTGAAGCAGGGAAAATGTCTGCTGAAAGCCTTGAAATGTGAAGGAAGGTGAGGGCCGTCTCCATCTTCCCCCTGAAAGGCTAAACTGGTGAAGCAAAGACAGGATGCAGGGTTCCCTGGCTTTGTCACTACAGTTTAAGAGGGAATAGATATTTCTGTGAAGGATCCTGATATTTAAAGTTAATAATCCTGTCATCTAAGCTGCCTCTAAGGGTGGGGCAAGCCATGCAGGGGCATGTGCTGGAGAGAAGGTCCTATGAAAAGGCATATGTCTGTGGAGCTGGTTTCTAGATACGGATGTATCTATGCATTCGCCCCTGGATGCTGTCAGTGTAATGCAGTGATTATCAGCCGGGGTACCATGGCGCCTGACGGAACTGCTAGGTCCTCTGAAGGATGTCACAAGGTGTGAGGAGATAAGCAAGGTATGAGAAGGCTCAAGCCTAGACCATCCCACACCCCAACCGCCTCCCCATCTACAAGGAGGCAAGGCCTGCCATACATAAATTAGTTATTTCAAATTTGGGTCTGCTCATTTCACAAAGGTGATGGAAGGGCACCTCATGTCTAATAAGGGGCACCTCGCGCCCCAAAAGGTGGAAAACCATTGGTGTAGCAACTCATTGCAATATGCAAGTTTTAGAAGGTCACAGGCCACGCAGGGATGGGGGGAGGAACTTATTATTATGGCTCTAAAGAGGTTTAACTAGCAATGATGGGGTGAAATCAAACACAGGACCATCCATGTCCAATACTAGATAACCACCCACCGACTACTCCTGACAAGTTTGCTGACATGCATCTCTGTGTCCTCTAGACTAAGGGTTGCATCCCATCCTTTGAGTCCCTGCAGGAAGCTCACAATGACCACTGCATGGCACAGGGAGCAGTGTGTGGGGCTCTGCCTTTCCTAGGGTTCCTTGAACTAGTTCAGCCACTTCTCGTGTTGTCTCCTGCAAGATTTGCTCATTTATGTTTAAAGAGGAACTTTCCTCTTACAGACAAGAGGTCTTTTATGAGCAGCTGAGAATAAAAACAGAGGGGGATCAATTTAATGTGGTGGCAGATGGGAATCCATTCCCTCAGTCCAAGTCCCAACCTTTTGCTAGAGCAAAGTGCAGGCACTGCCTTCAGCCTGTGAGAACAGGACATTTTACCTGGCTCTTCCCACTGGGTGCCAAAGGGGATGATATGGGATAAGGAGAGCGGGGCGGGGAAAGAAAGAGAAGGTGATTTCCTCTACACACAGAGGAAAAAGTTGTAGGTTTGCCCCTGAGCCAGCTGCAGTGGACATTGCAAATCTGGCTGTGGAATAATCACAGGCATGATGGTGGTTGTTTCAACAATGACTGAACAGGGCTCCTGGAACCCCACACTAACCACTCAGCATACTTTGCTCACTCTTTTCTTGACATATTCAACTAGGGACCCAAAGAACAAGGAGACAGGGCAAATGCAGAGACCGGATAAGATGCATGAAGTAAGAAAACCTCAATGTGGGATCAGACAAAAAGTCCTTCTGAACCATACCCTTCACATCCTTCCCCCTCTCCTCATGGCTGGAGTTGTCTGCTTCTTCTCACTCAACACCTTCCTCAGCAGGTCTTCAAAGAAAAGCTTTTAACTTTTACAAGGCTGCTACCCCACCTCACTCTCAGACCACTTCTTCACACATGATGTGTCAAGATGCCTTTCTGCCTAAAAACACAACCAACACAGCTCACTCCAAATCAAGTTCTTCTCCAGGCAGAAGGAAATGTCACCAATCATTAAGTTAGACAGACACTTGCCTGAGATGGTTTAATCAGGGACGATGCTGCCTTGAGGAGGGCGCTGGGACTAGATTATCATGCATGGTCCCTACTTTCCTACAATCCTATCATTCTCCTCCAGTAGCAAACAGGGCAAACACCTTCAACAGTCGGCCACCTGATTTCCGCTCAGAGACCAATACTGCCAGATACCTAATAAAACCAACTTCATACCTTTAACAGAGAGGCCCTTGACAATATTGACAGAGCAATGGAGCAGCTTACTCAACAGGTGTTCGTAGCACCTGATGGCCCCTACCTGCATGGCAAGCTCATTTCTGTAATTGGACACTCACTGTACAAACAGGCTCTCTCGAGAAGGATGGGGACTGAATGCACCCTTCTCATGGTACATTTCCATTTCACTAGCCCTCCTCATATTACAAAGGGACACCAGGAAATGATCTGTGAATACCTGGGCTCTCGGTGGGTTTGGAATTCACGGTGGGAAAAGTCTCTATTGAGACCACAGAAAATGTTCTTCTGAATGTATCAGTGTTTTCTGCACTGCTCTTGAGTGTGACAAAGCCAACCTAATGGAAAGGAGCCTCTCAAAGACTGTGTTCCTTCCCAATCCCCATGGCTCCCCTTTGCACACATACCTGTTGAGTGCCATGGTAACAGTTGCTCCTTGCTGCATCTCTTGAGATGCTGCCACCGCTGCTTCTGCCAACGATGCCACCGCCTGCGTGGCCTCTGAAGCCTGCGTCGTCTGGATAGTCATCTCGCCCCCCTGTAGCGTTGCCCAGTTCTGTTCCACCTATTAGGAAGGGGAGAGGAAACAGGCTCAGGGACAGTGAATTCTGTCCCTGAGCCAACCCGCAGCTGGGTGGCTACTTCTTAAAGACAGTCAGTCATATGCATTCAAGATGCCTTTCAAAGAGCCCTTCAAGTTTTTGATTCTTATTGCTCGAGACATCCCATGAGCACCTCTGTTGCAAAAAGGGTCCCTTAGGAGCACTTTGGAGACCCAGCTGCTGAAATAATGTTGGAAGGCCTCCGGCTCTCTCTCACTCGCTCCTGAGATGAAGGCTCCTGCTTCTGAGCAGCCCAAGACCTCATGGTCCACTTGCTAAGTTTTCAAACCATTTCTGTCCTTTCTCCAGTGTTGCCCCTCCAAAGGGAGGACCCACAAGCCACCTCCTTTTTAGTCACACCACCTAGACCCTTGACATTTGGGTTGCTGGTGTGTGGTGACCCGTGCCTCTCGGGCCCACCAGCACTGTCATCATATTTATTTGTATCCTTGCAACACCCAGGAGCCAGGTTATGGACCAGAAGCCCACTGTGCTGGGTGCTGTACAAATATGTAACTATTCTCATTGTTTCTTTGTAAGCTGCATCAACCCACCTGCAGCACCTCTTACATCTCATGACTCTTCACTTGTGTTTGTTAGGGCAGCTGTGCAAATAACAAATCATCCCATTGTTCATCTATTTTAGGTATTTCAGCCCATCCTTCCCTCACAAGCAATGTTTCTGTGGCTACAGGATCTTGCACTTCCCAGAGTTCCCCCACTCCTGACCCCCAGCAGCTCTCTCTCTATGCCGACCTGCCTTCTTCCATTTGGGAGGAATTCCTTCACATTGGAGGCAACACCACTGAGCAGGTGGCCACACACCCATGGTCAGAATACAAGGCATTGGGATCAACCTATCTTGGCACCAAAGAATGAAGGTTCCTCAAGCTTCCAATTCTGTGGATCACATTGTATGAGGAAGATCCCCTTAAAATACCTCATTCTGCTGACCATCAGGAAGTTTCACAGGCTATTGTCACAGCCCTCAGTATTGGAAATCTACTCCATCGCATGCAGTCTATCCCACCTGGGTACAGTTATTTCTTTGAATTTCTGGTGATCTCTTCCATGTTGTATCAGTGGTAGAGGCAGATTCAGAAATCCAGATCCTTTATTTTATATAGCTAGGCACAATGTATATAAATGAATGCAATAATATATCTGCCTGTCTATCAGTGTGATCTATCTATCTATCACTTCTGAAGTGAACCCTGCCAGAAACTGATGATGACTAGGTAGAGGGCTACACAATACATTTGGATAGATAGACAGACAGACAGACAGAGCCCTCTACCTAGTCATCGCTAGTTTCTGGCAGGGTTCACATCAGAAGTGGGTTACAATGAGAAAGCTGTGGGAGGACAGTAGTGAAGCTTCACAGATTAGTTCAAGAAAAATATTCCATGCAATAAGGGCAACAGAGAAAGAAGTACAAAGATGCACTGGGGACAAATGAACAAACACAGGATCAAGGCAAGCATTTCTGGCAGGGAAAGGAGTGAGGGGTGCTTGCTAAGATACCAGAATACAGGCAACCCCTGCTTCACGCTGTTTCACTTAGTGCTATTCCACTGTAACGCTCATTTGAAATTGATACCTGACCTCACTTAGCGCTCAGCTAATTTCGTTATAATGCTCACGGGTGCCATTGTGTGTCATTAAAAACAACTGTGGTCTCCATCTTGGGTCGTCAAATACTTTTGGTTTCGCTTAATGCTCAGTTTTTCAGGAACCAATTAAGAGCGCTAAGCAGGGGTTGCCTGTAGAATAAAAGTGAGAGGCCTTGAAGGTGATGAGAAACAGTTTGTACTTGATGTGGTGGAGAAAGGAATAAGCAGCAAGATTCGAAGGCAGAAGATGGGGCAGGGTGGCACCTTAGCACAGTAGTTCTCAACATTTGTAGGCTCAAGGCTCCCTCCATAACTTTTGTGAACTCAGAGGCATTTTAGCAACCTGTGAGCAGCAAGACACTGACAGCCCTCATCTCCCTGCCTAACCTGTGGCAGGTTTGGGTGCTCTTGGTGTTTTTGGGCAATGGGCCTTTTAGTTGTCCAGCAACACTGATTGTGCAATTTAGGACTAGATTAGACAGTGACTTCCATAAGACGGTGATACTACCTCAGGCAGGGGGTTGGACTAGTCGTGACCTCTGGAACGTCCTTCCAGCCCTGCCTTTCTACGATTCTATGAAATAGAGAGAAATCCCAGCAGAAAACGGGCACGTGGATAATGAGGCCCACCAGCAAAAATCTGGACCTGTCTGTACAGGAAAGTTTACCTAATAGGTACTCCTGTCTTGTGTAAATTAGGAGAAGGTTTTCCATGGCACAAGCTAAGCACCTAATTCCCCCTGAAAGCCAAGGGAAGTTAGGCATCTAATTGCCATTTGTGCCTTTGAACACATCTTCCCCAAGGCCTGAAGAGAAAGATAACTGATGCTGGAAACCCTCGTGTGAATTCAAAGTACTTTTCAAGGCTGGAGCCCCAAACAAACAGCCTGTTTCTCTTTGGTTTTTCAGATGGAAATGCAGCCTAACACAGAACAAAGCTGTTTTGTACTGCCACCTATTGCCGTGAAAACCCAATCCTAACTGAGCAGAGCAAGCTGACCCTTGCATGCCATCACAGGGATGGCACCTCACCCAGAAACTTCGGCAGGTGGCCAAGAGGGCAGACAACAGCCTGGAGTGGAACAGCAGCCTCATTGACTCCAAGACAAATTTGGGGTTGGAGGAGGGGAAGAAAATCCTGGCAGCTGTCGGAGTTCTAGGAACAGTCTTTAAAGAAAGCAGCATTTTGTTTCTTGATGTGAGAGAGCAAGGTGGGGCTTTGGCACTGTAAGTTTAGATGTTTCAGTTTCAAAAGCCTGGTTTGGCACCACAAAGCCCTCAACGGGAAATACAACTTTGAAAAATCTGGATGAAACTATGAGCGAGTAACATGAATGCACTGGGCTTCTAACAGGGCTTTCAGTAACTTTACTAAGTATCTATACAGTGTCCTATCACCAGAGGAAAACCTGCATGTTAATAAAGCCTCAGTGCCTCTACAAGACACCACGGAGAACTCTCCTCCTGTTACCAAGAGGCGGACTGAGGCAGAGTGAAATGATGCGGTTTGCTCAAGGCCACACTGCAGTCCTTTCCTGCCACCAATTCAGCTGGTGTTAAACACAGAGCCCTTTGCTATAGCCAGGGGACTTGCACTTTAGACCCCCCAGATGTAAACACAACACTGAGTGCTTTTGGGGAGCTGCATATTGGAAGCTGTTATTTCTGATAACTAGAACAATGAAAATGTGATCAGTCATGAATCTTCTCCCATGGCACTAATGGACACTGGGACTGAGATCTTGCATGCACGACTGTTAGAAAGTGAATGTAAGAAGTGCCATTTACTGGGTCAGACCATAGGTCCATCTTGCCTAGTCTCCTATGTCACATGGGGGCAGAAACTAGAATCCTGAAAGGGAGAATGAACTGGGTCTGACAAGGGTTTTTTTTTTTCACCGCTCCTCTCTCCTGTGCAGCTTCCAGTATTTAAGGTCTAGGAAGTTCTGATATTGATGCAACTTTCCTCCAGGACTGTGTCCAGTCTCTTTTCCAATCTGGCTAAACTCTTAGTGTCCACCACATCTGGTGGCAATGAGTTCCACACTTTAATTGGCAGACTGTGTGAAAAAGAAATTCCTTTTGTCAGTTTTAAACTTACTACCTACTAGCTTCATTTTGTGAGCCCTAGTTCTTGTACTGAGAGAGACAGTAAATCCCTACTGACTTTTTCCTCACCATTTAGCATTTTGTCAATCCTTATCATGTCCCCCCCACAAGCATTTCTCTTCTCAACTGAATAGGCCTGGCCTCTAGTCTCTCCTCATACGGAAGGCCTTTCATACTGCTATCCATCCTTGTTGACTTTCTCTGGACCTCCTCGAGGTCTTCTATATCCTTTTGGAGGTGTGGAAACCACAACTGGGCACAGTATTCAAGGTATGGATGCACCATGGATTTATAAAAGGGTATGATGGGCATGATCACACATGCCTGAGAGCCAGAATTAACCCTCAGCTCGCATTTCCCAACCCTGGCCCATATAAAAATTCAAATACAGTGCTGCTTTAAAGCTAATGCTTGCTTTTACCAAAATGGTACCCAGCAGTAAGCATGTGTATTCCCAGTCAAAACTTATACATGAAAGATACAAGCGCACCAGCAGGGTTTGAAAGAGACCCCCACAGTACATTGCACACATGAGCAAACACAGACCTTCACCCTTACCTCGCCATCGGTGACTGCAGAGTAATTCACTTGTGCGACGGTAACTGTGGTAGGCAACTCGGAGGCGTCAGCCAGCGTGGCGACCGTGGCACCTGTGCCAACCTAGGAAACACCAGGAAACAGTCAACAAAATTCAGCTGCTCACCATTATGCATCCCAGGGTTCCCTTGATATAAAAGAGCAATCAAGTCCTTTAGAACAAGAAAGCTAACATGCCTCAAAAGTGTAACAGCAGGCTGGAGGCATTCGTGGCAAGTACTGAGGTAACCTAGCATGGAAGTCGTAGGCCATGGGGTCCTGCACCCCAACCCCAGCAGTATTAACCATTACTTCCAAATAGGGTTATTTCTTTTCAAAGCATTTAAAGCTGCAGTGCATCTTCACATCCCTGCCAGGGATGGCAATTGTCGTCATTCCCACTTAACAGCTGAGAACACAGACATAAGAGGTTTTTGGCTGGGATGTTGTAGTTGGGGCTGGTCCTGCTTTGAGCAGGGGGTTGCACTAGATGTGACCTCCTGAGCTGCCTTCCAACCCTCATTGTCCATGATTTTATGAATGAGAATCATAGGAGAGAGTCCAGCAGAAGGCCAAAAAATGGTTGGGGGGCTGCAATACATGACTTATGAGGACAGGCCAAGGGAACTGGGCTTATTTAGTCTTCAGAAGAGAAGACAGAGGCGATTTGATAGCAGCTTTTAACTACCTGAAGGGGGTTCAAAAGAGGATGGAGCTGGACTTCTCAGTGGCAGACGACAGAACAAGGAGCAATGGGCTCCAGTTGCAGCAAGGGAAGTTTAGGTTGGATATTAGAAAAAACTCTCTTATTAGGAGCAGGGGAAACCGCTGGAACAGGTTGCCCAGAGAGGTGGTGGACTCTACATCCTTAGAGGTTTTTAAGGCCTGGCTCAACAAAGCCTTGGCTGGGATGAGATAGTTGGGGCTGGTCCTGCTTGGAGCAGGTGGTTGGACTAGATGTGACCTCCTGAGCTCCCTTCACACCCTCATTTTCTGAAAGAAAATGAGGTCTGTTTCTCAGGGATTCCCTCCTTCCCTGCCTAGTCCCAAATTCACAGAAAATTACCAGGGGTCACAGTGGGCCAGCTCACAACAACACAATGGGCCAGCCCCTTTCTGGAAGGGGGTTGGTGAGATGTGGTCAGTCTCCATTCAAAATCTGATATGGATTCAAAAATACCAGGGAGGCCCTCTATCTGGGATCTCTTGAACATATTTTAACAACCTTTTACAGAAGCAGGCCATGGCTGCTGCGGTCCCCCTGCTTTACCCATGGTAGGCTTGGGTGTTATAGTTTGTGTTGGGTTAGGGTTGACAGTAGTTTTACTAGGAAGTTTGATTATGGATTTGCATAGGGTAGGGCAGGGGGTTGGACTAGATGTGACCTCTGGAGGTCCCTTCCGGCCCTACTTCTCTATGATTCTCTGATATCTCATTTTCACAGTTGTCAGCAGAGCTACCAAAACAAAGGTTAACCACCGTGAAGCCTGATGAGATCAAAAATGATCTATTATTTCAACCACTAGTAGAGCGTACACAAAGAAACTAGAGGAGTATTTGCCAGCTGTTGCCCCTCTTTCCCTATGTTTTGCATGTACAATACAGATCTATACTATGTAGTGCGAAGCTCAGGGTAGGAAGCCTGACCAGTTTTAGAGCTTTGTGGCTCAGCAAAGGGAAAGGTTGAAGTTGACTGTGAGAGCAGGGCACTGGACCTAAGGCCCCTTGGTATCCCTTGTAGTTCTATGCAACTTAGCTTTGGTAGCTGTAGTACGTGGAGCCTTTGGAGAGTACTGCTGTAAAGTCCATGAAATCACCTAAATTACGGTGCAGGTAACCCCATCTTGGTTTACTGCATGGCTCAGATGGATGCGTGTCCAATGACCATCCAAAAGAGTTATGTTTGTGTACCACAATATTGAAAGTCACTGGGTAGGACTGGAAAGCCAAGGAAGGCAAGGTAACTGCTAGGGTCTAGGAGAATTGAGACTGGTGTTGCAGTTTAAAACTTACTAGCAATCTGGGGCCCCAAAGGGAACAGTGCTGGGTATGATAGGCACCCAGAGTAGGAGGATGGCCCAGGTGTTAGGGTACTGGCCTGGGCTGTGGAAGATCTGGGTTCAATTCAGTGATCTACCACAACTATCCCGTGTGACCCTGGGCAAGTTCTTTTGTCTTGCTGAGCCTTGGTTTCTCCTCTTTAAAATGGGGGATGAAATCACTTCCCTACCTTACAGAGACATCATGAACACACAGACATTAGACAGAGACATTCATGTATAATAGAAACGGGAGCCTATAGAAGTGTCTAAGATGCCTAAAACAGACTCAAGATTCCTGAAAAATGAATGTTCAGTCAACAGACAAAGCAATGTCATTAAAAACTCCCATCATACATGAGGCTCAGTGTGGAACTAAGGCTGCCGGAGGGCTCTGCTCACCTGGATAAGGGAGACGGTGCCGTCAGGATTACTGAATGTCTGTACCACAGTCTGTGATGGTACCAGATGTGCTATGCTGTGGGTGGCTGTTGTCTGCTGCTGCGTCTGCTGATCCTCAAAGGCATAAAGTAAGTCCTCACGCCCATGCTGCTTATAGCAGTTCTTCACAATAGTTCGCAACGCCTGGGTCCAGGACACCTGTCAAGAAGGAGGGAAAATTGAGAGTCGGTGCAGGTAGGCCTTTCACAAACATTCAGCAGTTGCCCCCTGAACTGCTTCCTCTGGCATCAGAGCCAGGGAAAGCATCAACCCGTGCAGGGATTTAATCCTACAGCTCCCACCATTCTTTAATGCCCCACATGGTAAATGGATATGGCTTCACTCCTCTATCCCCATGCAATGCTCTCTGGCACAGTTGAAGTGCGCACCTTTTCCAGTCTCTTTTCCTTCACTTTTCTACATGCCATTGCATCGTGTGCAGAAAGGGCTTGGGGGGGGGGGCACATCCTTTGCTGCCTGTCTCTCAGACCAGGACCCATGCTCCCTGGTAGCTGAGTTGTGTGGAGAGAGCAGACCCAAAGCTTAGGCCAGGGCTCTGCTTCTTTAGCCATATGCACAGGCTGCTGCCGCCATATTAGCTGGATTGGGGGATAACACCACAGAAGCAGAGAGGAGTGGTGGACCTCAAAAGAGCAAATTAGCAGCAGGCAACCACAGCCAATCCAAAGCAGTGGCTCTTTTCCTACCTTTACTGTATCAGGTCCCTTCCCCTGGACTAGTTTGGGGCCAACCCACTTGGGTGTAAAGTAATGACAAATCAAGAGAGGCAGAGCGAATGGCTGACACCTGAGATTGAAGACCAGCCAAAATGTGGACAGGAGAAAGACCAATGCAGTGAGATCTGGGCACAGACATTTAACCTGAACATGGAACAAGGAAAAATTATGACATTGCTGTTCTCACACACAAGAAGGGTCCTGGTGTAAGGGAATGTGCTTGGGGTCACCAGCAACTGTACAGGGGGCCACGTACCCTCTGTTTCTGTTCTTCTGTGCGGACGTCACTGCGGACGTTTGCCCATGGAATATCCTCAGGCCACCAAATGGGTTTACAGCTTTCCTTCCCCCAGCCCGGCTTCCCACGCCCTGTCGAGTACTTCAGCATCTCAGGGATGAAAGCTCGCAGCTGCGCCTACAACGAAGAGCACAGGGCGTTAGAGGAGAACTGCAAATCCTGATTTCTTTGGGGGTTTCAGGTTAGCATAAAAAATGACCAGATTCTGTTTTCACCTGGAAATTACCAGACTGAAACCACTCAGTGAAATGGCTCAGAAACCCTGGAAGTGCTGAACAACTCTCTTCCTACCTCATCCAAAGTGTTAGCTGAAACACTGTATTAGCAGACACTGGGATGGTGACAAAAGTAAGTCAGCCAACTACAGCAGTAAAAAGAAGCACACCATATATTAATACAATGTTAACCTTCAATTCCTGATGTGAGGGAAAGCAGTTAAAGTAAGGGCCAAAGCTCTACGAGGCACTGAAATTCAGCTGGGATATATGTGAGGCACTTGCATTTTACAGGGAAGTCTCAAGGAGAACAGACTTTCAATGCACAGCTCCAGTTAAGAAATTTGGCTTTTTCTGTGCTCCAATAATATAAACAGATCTTACTGGATTTTTCACAGGAAATAAGACTCTTGTCTTATCAGAGAGAAGGCGGGCCAGCCTGACCGACACGTTCCTAAAAAAGCTATGGGAAGTGTAAAGAGTGAAACGGCTCCGTTGGAACAAGAGTGCTAGTGCGATGAGACAGTCTTTTAGGACCAGAGAACAGGCCTATTAGCAAGAAATACTACTGTGAAATGCTGTTAGCATGGAGGTGAATGCTGCATATGGAGCTGTGCGTCTTATGCCCTGCTCATTGCTGTTCGTAGTGCAGCTCCCAATAGCGGGGTGGGATCCCACACTGCCAGGAGCTGCACAAGCACAACACAAAAGGCCTCCTTTTCCAAGGAGCTGACCATCTAATACTCACCATCACCAAGGTATAGCAGCACCAGAGGGTTTAAAGAGAAACAAGTTACATAAAGATAAAATTGCATCTACCTCCTAACCTCTCACCCCCAACTGCTAGTGGCTCTGTTGGAAACCAGTTGAACTGTATTCTCTGGGTTTACTGCTGCCCCCAGAATTGCTTGCTGTGACCACCACCTCCATCGCTTAATTGCTTATGATCCTCCCGTTGCGGTTACACAAGGCTGCAGTGCAAGGCAGCTCAGGTAACAGGGATCAATTGCCTCTGGTTACAACCGCGATGAGTGCAAGTGAGCAGGGAGCAGACAGCCCCCAAACAGGCTTAATTTTTTACCACGGAGATGCTGGCTTTTGCTCACGCAAGGCCACATGCACCAGCCCAGATCTCAGGTGCTTCAGCACCAAACCCCAAGCTGACAGGATGGGGGGACACCTGGAAAAAAAAATTAACTGACTGGTAAAGTCCTTATCTTACACAAATGCATCTCAAAGTTACTCATGGCTGCATGCAACACCCTTTCACAGCACCCTGTATCAGACACCAGAAAAAAGAGGGGGAATACGCCTAACAGGATGGTGGGGACGCTCCTCGTGGACTTGGCATAAAGCTAAGATCACCATTGGAGGCCTCAGGATCTCGCTCAGAGACCACCTGAACTTCAGCTCCTCAAATTGACTTTTATTAGTAGATGTTTTGGATTGGGAATCCAGAAAAAAGATGACAAAGATGATATGGAAATACAAATACTAAGCCAGTCCTAGGCCAAGACATCACGAACAAGGGTAGAAAGCTAGATCACCACCTCGCTGCTCTGTGCACCCCCCAAGCTGTTTCAGGGAAGGAAGGAGATCCCAAATGTTAAATTATGCCCAACAGCAGTAACTGTACCTATATTTCTATAGCTTTTTTCCTCTGAGATCTGGAAGTAAGCACTGCCCACAGCAGAAATGGGGAGACTGAGGCCAGGAAAGGAATTTGGCTGCCTGGTACAAAAAGAGTTAAATGGCTCCTTCAGAGAGTGCCTAGCTGCAAGCTGTGTTCCTTGTTAACAGATGGATTAATTACTAGTCCTCGGGAGTTCAGAGGCTCAAGCTACTCAAGGCGCTTGTTAAGAAGGGTTCGCTTGTAATCCACCGGGGAGACAATCAGCAGCAGCGACAGAGGCATTGCAACCTGCTCGAGTACAGGACCTCTCTAATTAGCATCACAAGGGCTGCCCCTCAGCTGGCCTACTCACAAAGGTCACGAAGTGCAGGCTGCAGCACACAGACAAGGGCCCCGGATCTCCCCGCGTGCAGCGCACAGGTGGGAATCTGCCCTGGGTGCCCTGGGGTGGGCACCCAGCTCCTCACCGGCCCCATCCAAGACTGACCAACTCCAGTGAAGTCTCATCGCTTCTAAACATAAAGATTTGTTCTGAATTTCTGTCACTCAGAAGGGATCTTGGTGAGCCAAAGTGCAAGGTGTACGTGAGGCACCGTGAAGGTTTTTTGATGCCTCGGCTAGAGCAGCCTTTTAAGGAGAAGGGTTGAGATGAACCTGGGAAGATAATGAGTTAATCCTCATCACAGCCACCTTTAGTGACCAACACCCCAAAGTGCACTCTGTTAGAGTCCCCAAAAGTCAAAGGGAATAAGGAACTGCACAAGATGCAGCTAACACCGGTCAGGCCTAAACTTATGGTTTGTAGAGAAAGCAGTTCCCAGAGCAGAGCGCCTGCTAATAATAGCCTTGCGGTGGCTTGCACAAATTCAGGGCTGAGGATCCTCCAAAGGAGACTACCACCCAAATGCAATGGGCATGGGGGAAGCCGAGTACACAAGAGGTGAAGCAGTAGCCACAGTAGCCCCAGAACGGTGAGACTGCATCTGTCCACCTCGCCTAAATAGTGGGAAAACGCTGTTCTGCAGTAGCAAATTTTAGACTGAACAGTCCCGTGCTAAAAGAAATCTTGATTAATTTTTTATCCAAAATGAGGCAGCTGTCTACATACCAACAAACTCATCATCACAAATATCCTTTCTATTAAGCTCATGTAGCTTTTGCTGCACCTTCATTCATTCTTCATTCTTGCCCATGACAGGTCAGGGCAAGAGACGGCTTTGCAGATTTAATAATCTGCTGAAGCAACTGTGAAATCTAGGGCCCTAACTAACGGGTCTCAGTGGAAGCCAAAGACACTCAAGACCTGGCTCTTGAGGTGCTGGGGAAATAGAGCAGGTTTGTACCTGCGCGACTGGAGTCAAGCCTGGCTCCAACAGCATGGTTTCTTCTAACAGCACTGAAAGGCTTTTTGGGAATTCACCATGTACAAGTGGTCCAATCACAACCTTTTCTTAGCACTGCTGCCCCAGTCCTTTGAAGTCCTTTTTCTCTGGCATTACATTATATCCTCTCCTCTCCACCATCACCACAGGCCTTGGTCAAGTGAAAAAGCAGCATATTAGAGGTGTTGACTCACTGCCCAGACTCCTATGCATCCTCCAGCCAAGAGAGCATCAAAGTGATCACTGCTGCTCAGAGATCCCTAGACTGCATTAGATCCCATGGCATCCGGGACTGCCAAGAGAGTCTGGAAACCCTCCAAAAGCTGCATGTGGCAGCTCCATCCTAGAAGGGTGCTGTGAAGGAGGTACAAGCACCTGCGCCAAATGAAGGAGCTGATGGAGGCAGCTTTCTGCACCCTGCAGTGCACTGTTAAAGATTGGCTCCAAATCTGCCCCCCAATCAAGCTCTCACCAGGACTAGCTAACTCTGCTTCCCCAGAGCAGCTTAGCACTGAAGGATTTGGGTCTGGGGCTCAGCTGCTGACCCACAAGAAACAAATCACTGTGAACGAGTTTGGGGGGCTGGGTCCATCCTTGCCTGCAAGTCCTATGAAAGTGTTTGAACAAAGAAATGGAAGTTCAGTGAAAGGACAAATCCTGCCCTTGGGGCCTTGTTACACCTTATGCCTTGTGAGCTGTGCAACTGTTGACTGGCTGAAAGTTTGTAGCAGTCACACTTCCAACTTCAGCAGCACATCTATGGGGAGCGGACACACCTTAACAAAACAGGTCCAGGGTGGTGCAGACCAAGGGGTAACCCTGCCCTGGGGTGGTGTAACTTTGAGCCACATAACAAGTGCTTTAAGGAACTTTAAGGTGTTAATGTGTGAACCATGAAGGGGTTAACAGCTCCAGGAGCCACCCAAAATTACTGTGCAATAAGACCCTCAAAAAAGTGAAAGCAACTTGCAGCAGACTCCATGGTTTCTGTTGGCATAGGTAGAACAGGACCTTAGGTGCTACTAAACCTCATTCACCAAAAAACATTTTGCTAGTAGACAGCAGGTCTGCCACTGGGCTCAGCCCATAGTCAAAATGCACAGTGAGCGCAAAGGAAGAGGTTCCCCTGAGTAAAGGCATCAGGAACAACTCTGCTGCAGTGAGTTTACCACGCACAGCACAGGTGGGCAGCACTCTCCCTCTGCAAATCCATAGAAACATGCTGCACTCAGGCTAGAGAAGGCTTTATTTCCCCCAAGGCCCCCAAAGAAGCAGGGCAATTAACAGGAGGAGAGTCATTTTCATCTCCTCTTCAGTGAGCTAAACCTAATGCCTCTAACACCTGTCTGAGGCTACCTGCAGCTGTTCAAAGCCAAGGCTTCATTTTTCCATTGACATACCCCTTAATTGCCCTGCCCTGTTTGTGTGTTTGAGTATTTCTACTGGGCTTTGTATATTCCAGGCACAAAACAGAAAGGGTTGAAAAAGCCAGATTTGGCCAGCTAAGAAGGGGAACATCCGGAAAAGAATGTGTAGAACCCTGGAAAAATCAAAATCATCAGCTGGGAACTGGAAAGTCTTGTATCTGCCCAGCTGGGAGACTTCTACAGCTACGCAAGACACTGCATTATTTGCACTGGTTCAGGTGCTAGTGGCCTTTTTGGGTGCTAGTGCATTATTTGCACTGGTTTGGGTGCTAGTGGCCTTTTTGGGTGCTAGTGCATTATTTGCACTGGTTTGGGTGCCAGTGGGCTCTTCCGTTCTTCCACGTGAATGCAGAACCCTGAACTCGGGTGTTTGTAGAGCCCTGGGGCTTGACACTTCACATATTTATAAACCTCTGAGAAATGACTGAAAATCGTGTGCCTACTGATTGAGAATCTCAGCTCCCTGCACTGCCAGAGTGCTACCTAGGTTTTACTGACACAAACATTTCCTTCTCTTAGCCCTGAAGATGTGTTCAGCTCCAGGATCAGGAGTCTACAATCAACAAACCTTTCACTTCCGCTCCAAATGCAGTCTCTCTGTTACTGTTACCCAAATAAGGCGCCTTAAAGGGCAAAAAGAGATCGGCTGAATTTTCAGATACCACGGCAAGTCAGGAGCCACGGTAGTGAGAATCGTTATTGCTGTAATACTTCGCCCAGGTCCAGCCCTCTCCTATCCAAGGCTCTCAAAGAATTCTCCATTTACAAAGCCACCCCCATTTTGCAGATGAGGAAGTTGAGAAGTGGTAAAGTGACCTCCCACCTCAGGTCTGATGATTGGGGTTTTATGTAAAATAAATAGGGAGTCTGTCCAGTGCCTGAGAGAAACACTAGCCTGGCTGAAGAGTTACTTGATTGTTCTCAATAAAAAGCACCACTTCTGCAAGAAATGCCTTCCTAATTAGACCCTTTCTTTACTGCTGGGCACCTCACTAGGTCTCAAAATGAAAGGCCTCCTACAGTACTTCATGGCTGCATCAGCAGTTTGCAACTTTACTAAGAATGCTGCTGTGGTAGGAAGCCCTGGTTCAAATACTCTGTGGGGTTCAGAGGTTGGGGAAGTCCAACACAGAGCAGGCTTGGGCCAGCCAGTCCCTCTGCCACCCTGTTCATTCTCAGAGCACTTGGCAGCATGCACCTTCCCCGTTGGGGTTCGGTCCCCACTGGGCTGGGTGCTGCCTCAGCCCTCCAGGGCCAGGAAGGGCTCAGTCAGTTGTTCATTCCCCTCATCCAAAAGCAATCTGGTTCTAGAGCAGGTGTTCCCAAAAGGGTGGCCCGTATGCCAAATGTGGCTTGTGAGCTCCTTGGATGCAGCCTGCCACCCAGGACTGCCCTGGTGAAATGGCCCTTCGGGGCAAAATTTCAGAAACTGTTCTAGTCAATGGAGAAAGTGGAGCTTCTTTAGGAAGCTAAGAGACCTAACGAATCTGTGAAGGTAACTTTTCCAGGACTCCGATTGCCACCTTTCACCCTGGCAGTGAAGGAACCCCAAGCTGGAAAAATAGAAAAAGGAAGATCCAGGACTCAACCTCATATGGAAACTATAGATCAACACAACCCCCAGAGCCACCAGACTGCACGAAAAGTTCATGTCTTGAAATGCAGAATTTCCTGAACAGCTGACAGCTGAGTCCAAGGTTTGGACCCCAGAAGACACCAAACTGCTTCCATTCTTGATCTATCCCAAGAAGGTATTTCTTCCTTTAATAAAAGGTAACACTCAAGAGTGGAGGGGCTGCAGCCATGGGCCAGAGGGGAAATGCTTAAAGAGCCCTTGATGTTACTTGTCGCATTTCCAACACTGTCATAAAAATGAAAGATTTCTGTGCAGTGAAGCCAGCAGAGGAGATTCTGAGGATGAAAACTGGTTATTTTTAGGTGCAGGCCACACTAACAGCCAGGTGGTTACTAGTCAAAACCCTGCTTTTTACCAGCTGTGAATATGCATGGACATACATTCTGCACCTTCCAGGTAACAAGAAGTCTCTTAAATTTGTTAACAGGTCACAGGAACTGTGCAGTTGCCTTGGGAGTGAACCTCACCTTTGCCTTCTCACCGGTCCTTTCCCTCCATCCCACTAGCATCATCGCTATCTTCCATGTTCCTCCCTCATTCTCATCACTGCTGGCACCTGAACCTTCCAGCCTACAGCTCCTGCCCATAAGAGACCAGCTGCCTCCCTCCCCACAAACACTCTCCGTATCAAGCACTTCTTTTCTTCAAACCCTTAATTTCCTCTTGCTACTCCCAAATCCCAAAGGTGGAGGCTACATGCAGAGATCAGGTAAAATGCTCTAATATATTAGCTATCAAATGTCTCTTTGCCCCCTTGCTTTCTTCCTGTGGCACAACACAAGGCTTGGTTGTTTGTTATCAGGTGCTCTGTGGCCATGATGTGCAGAAAGGGGCAGAGGGGATACTCACATGGGCCCATTTGGACACGTGTGTGTTAGATGGGCGCCTACAATCGTAGGGAGCCGGGCTTGTTGACCCCAGAGTCACTCCTATCCCTCTCTTCCTAACTTAAGGGACCCAGTGAGGCCAGGCAACACTGGCCTCGCACTTCATGCACAAGTGCTTTGGGAGATGCGAAGCAAAGCTGCCTGGGAACAGCACTCCTTCAAAGACAAACCGTAGCTATGGAGGAAGGAGGTGCCTGGTGTCTCCTGTGCTCTGCAGAGATGAGCCCTCCCTGCTCCATCATGAGACTCCCTGGATGCAGCTCACCACCCACTCTCACTCCATCCCCTCAACCTTGTGCTCTTGGAGTTCCTCTCTCCTCCCTGCCAACACTCAGATTTGTTTGGATGCATCAAACAGCCAAGACGAGCATGTGCAGAGCCTCTCGCTCACCTCCTCACAGCATTAATCCTTCCCATTCCTGCCACCCCCAGGGACCGGAGCGAGGACATTTATATACAAAGCTGCCCTGATCCCTCCCTTCCCAGGGGACCTTTCCCTTCAAATCCCCCTGCCCATTTTTCTCAGGGATAGGGAGATTTCATGCCAGTGCATGTCTGTTCAGAGACGGGCTGGGCCAGGAGAGGGTGCGGTATCCCCTGCCCACCCAGGACAGATGACTCGTTGCAACCACCAGGTACAAGCAAGCTGCCCCTGCCTCTGAGATGAGAAAATGGGGCTGGTCCTGGAATATCGCTATCAGCAAGCTTCCCTCCACTCCAAGCCACAGCCTCAGGGACAGAGAGAAAGGTGGCACAAGACAACGTGCATGGCTTAGCTCCCATTTTGGTTTGCCTCAGGCACCTGTCTGGATATTAGCACCCACAGGTGCGGCACCTAGGGCTGCATCATTCACAGACGGGTGGCAGGCCACCACTGACCCAAAGGAAAAGGGCAAGGGGATTCTCAAGAGTTGTAAGGTTTCATGCAGGAAATAACCCATGATAAAGCTTCATGTCTAACCAAGGCCCCTCAAGTCTTGCTGGAGAGGCAGAAGCAAAGCCTCCCTCGGGACACACAGAACCTGTGCTGCCAAAGCCAACAGGGTCTGAGCACAGCCTGCAAAACTCCGTTGCTGCTTCCAAGTTTCCATTGCCCCAGTCGCTCACCTGGGTCATCTTGTCCACAGAGACAGGGATCCCATCAATGGTTAGGGGGGGCAGCTCTGAGTTAACCTCTTGTGGCGCAGGTGCGTGTTCTGCTAGTGCTGACTCCAGGTCTTCCAGGATCATGCTCTTGTACTTGCGCACCTGCGGGGAATCATTAGGCTCCGATAAACAAGGTAAAGAGCAACAGGAGAGGCCAGGGTGCTAGGTAACGGGAGGCGGGCCCCCGTGCCTTCCCCAAGATGCCACAAACAATGCCCCAGCTTGCAGGTAAAAATACCCATCGGCCCTGAAGACTAGAGAGCGGAGCTGTGGCGAAGAGATGATGAAACTGCAAGTAACACCAGCAAACAGAGGGAGCAAGAGATTCAGAGAAAAGTTTGGGAAAAATACTGTTTTCCTCCCACCGCAAGGCTGAGAGGCTGGATGGAACCACAGTATCACAGAAAATGAAGGTTGGAAGGGCCCTCAGGAGACCATCTACTCCAATGCCCTGCTCCAAGCAGGACCAGCCCCAACTACATCATCCCAGCCAAGCCTTTGTTTACCCAGGTCTTCAAAACCTCCAAGGATGGAGACTCTATCACTTCTCTGGGTAGCATCTTCCAGTGCTTTATCACTAACCTGAGAAAGCTTTTTTCCCCAATATCAACTTGAGCAATGGTCTCAAGTCAAAGAAAAGGAAGTTTAAGTTGGATACTAGGAAAAACTCTCTTACTAGGAGAATGGTGAAGCACTAGAACGGGTCACCTAGAGAGGTGATGTAGTCTCCATCGTTGGAGGTTTTTAAGGCCTGGCTTAACAAAGCCCTGGCTGGGATGATGCAGTTGGGGGTGGTCCTGCTTTGAGCAGGGGGGACTGGACTAGATGCAACCTCCTGAGGTCCCTTCCAGCCCTTGTTTTCTATGAGTCTATGAACAAATGCAAAGGGCTCCCTTTTACCCATCAACCTCTCCAGTTAACAGATAGTGATGCCATATTGGAGACTTGCAGAATGTGTGTGTATTTTATACCTCTAGTTCCCAGCTCTTCACATGTAGCAGCTTTGGGGTATCAAACTATTTGCTGGTGATGGTGCTGGCCAGTATCAAACTATCTTTCCGGCTCAGATTTGAATCTGTCCCCAGTGGATTGGAATATCTCAAACTCGAAGCTGAGACCACCAGCTGGTTCTGAGCAGAACTGCAAGGCAGGAGCAATGAGCTGCTTAGCTCCCTTCCCACTGAGACCTACCACATTCTCCAATGGTGCAGCGCCGAACACTTTAAAAACAGGGTTGGGTTTGGAGGGTGAGATGCAAAGGACGATGGCCTGCTGCCCCACTCGGGTGGTGTATTCATCTAGCGTGGCACGGAGCTTCCTGAAACAGGGAGGGGAACAGAAAGCAATGAGTACAATAGCTCATTCCATCCACTGCCCTTTGAGATACCAATGTTGCTTCCCAACACTGTCTAGTCACAAAGCTCAGGGGAGAGGGGGAAGAGGAAGTCTTTCCTCTGCTTCTGCAGGTGCAAAAGCTGCATGTGGAGCTCCTACATAAGTTAAGGAAATACTTTCAGAAAATTGTTAGTATAGAAATAAGTGTGCATTGCTCAACAGTCACGTTAAGGGGAGAGAGGATTCACCAAATGAGATCAAACCTCTGGGCTCAGTACAATTAGGATCTAGCTGCTGATTTTGGAAGAGACCAGAAGAACCACGCTGGAGCACAATGTCTCCTGACTACAGCATTGAATTAATGGGGACAGCACTGACACATGTGACAGGTGCAAGATCACATGGACAGGACCTGCCCTGCTGCAGATGCACTGGACTGCGCTCCTGCCCCGAACCAGAACCAGAGTTCATCAGCAAGCGAGAATCAGAAACACTGCAGCATATGGCCAGAGGAAACCTGCATATGCAGCCCTGTTACATCAGGGAGTCCCTGGGAATGGTCCCTCTCAGGGACCTCCTTATCATTTATTTCCTCTTATAACACGTCAGCAATGCAAGAGAATAACAAGGAAATGGCAGGGCCTTTGCTAAAGCAGATTATGGAAAGTGTATGCAACAAGTGGCAGGGGTAGCTCTCCCCGTGTGAGCTGCTGCTGCACGTGGTATTAAACCAGGCACTTCTGAGCCACTGGCCAACAGCGACTATATTGCTGAGTAGCGTCGCTGGATGACACCAGCTCTGCAGCAACTCCAGTGTCAGAGGCTCTAACCAGCTCTCATCTGGCTCACATAAGTGGCTTGAACATCAGAACAAATGTTGCATTATTCTGACTAAACAGCAAAAGTCTTCTAATGAGTTTAACAGTCAGACAACAGGAAACCAGAATGCTTGGCCAATGTGTTACCCAAGTCATTTGCAGTGGAGCAGAGAGGGAAGGGATAAAGGACATGTCACTTTGAAAATGCATGCTGCTACCCTCCAAAAGGGGAGAGGATTTGCTCTTAGAAATCTCTCAGTGCCCAGGGCTGTGTTGTCAGGGCCCAGGAGGAGGAGGAAAACCAAAATGAACCCTGCCAGCTACTTCAGATGCACATTATTTAATAATAAATATTAACTCTGCTCTCCCCTTTCTGTCTGGTCACATACAAGCTCAATCATGTGACTCAGCAGACGACTAAGCAGAGGTTAAACAAAACTAACTGTCACTCACCTACCTCTGAAAACTTACAAACTAGGAGGACGAAAAACAGGGGAGAGGAACCCAGATACTAGCTGTTTTATGGCAAAAAAGGGGGAAGGAAACCATTGAGACCACTCAAAAAAGCTTTCATAAAAGGCTGGGGGGGAAAAAGAAAATTGCTGCATGGGAAGCGATTCGAGATTTGGAAGAATTCTGGGTAATGGCTTGTCCTGATTTTTCCACCACTGAACTTTGCAAGATCCTGGAAAATGAGGACTTATTTTAATTTGCCAGCCGGCAGATCAATGGCATTGGAGATCCTTTCAAACACGGCCGGCAAAGCGGTTCCACCCTGGCCAGGTCCAGACCCACCTCTAGAGGCAGAGCAAGCAGTGTCAGGGAGCAATGACAGGGGAGGGAGGTTACCGCAGCAATCACTCCCCACCCCACCCAACCAAAACACGTTCCTAACAGGGCTCTGTCCATGGATTTCGGCAGTGGGCCCTGCCACCTATTTGCTCTGCTCTCAAATTCCTGGCCTATGCAGCTCCTGGAGATGCCAGATGCCACAGCTCCATGGGCCAGATGTTTAAAACAACTGTTTTAAAGGGTTAGATAAGTTTTTTGGCCCGCAGTGCAGCAGGCCCCATAGTTTCCAAAGCTGCTTCAGCTTCCGACCAAGAAACTTCCCCTCCCCCAAGGCTGCAGTGCTGGCAATATCACTTTTCAGCATGGGAGTCAAAGGGCTGTGGCAGGCTCTATTGGATGAGGGAGGGCAGGTACGGATGCAAAGGAAGCCGGGAGGGCTTCCAAGGGAGTCACAGCTCATAACACAGTACAAATCTTGGTTATGAAGGCATTGGGGCAATAGGAAGAAGTTCTTTCTGCTACCTGGAGCTGGGGCATGGCAACTCCAGGGGTTTTCAAGATAACCATTACTAGATCCATTAAGAATTCAAGTGGAAAAAAGCTCAGAGTGACACTGACTGAATGCGTGAGCAGGGAGGAATAGAAATGAATCGTGCATGCCACCAGAACAGCCCCTCCAGCCCCCGGGGGCCATGCTGGCATAGCCGAGACACAAGAGCTGCAACTGGAGCCATTTATGCAAAGGGAACGCAGCCCTCAAGTTCCAGGAAGGTTGCCAAGTAGGTCCTCAGCTTTGAGCAACCCATGGTCTCGTGAGCAGCAGCCAGGCACTGGGACACAGAGGTGGACGTGGCCAGCAGCTGTGGGAGGAGAGGGACTTACCGCAGCAAGCGCGTCTGCTGCCTCTTGCGGATGGACGGGTTGGACTCAAAAACGTGAGGCCGTTTTCGTTTTTTACCCGTTGCCACGGCGGCAGCAGCTGCCATCCCCACTGGGCCTGCAGACAAATGACAAAGGCCCAACGAGAGCAGAGTTTATTACCTGGACAAGGGGGAACAGACCATTACACCAGCTGGACCAGGGCTGAAGGGCTCGCCCCATCCACCTCCCATCCATGGCAAGAGCAAAGAAACCGGAACCGCTTACAAAGCTCTCACAAAGCAGTGAGATCTCCCCCCGTCTTGGATCAGAGCATTTCAACCAATGCCACCCAGGCCAGCAGGCCACAAGCAGCACCATACCTAGACTCCTGGCAGTCCCAGGCATACTTTTAGTATTGGACCCCCCTTTGCCAGAAATAATGATAATAATTATCGGACAATGGAAAGAAATTACCATTTTTGGGCCCTCTTTCTGTCCAGTTCCTGGGCAGCCACCTGGTTCGCCCATGCCTGTGTCTGGTCCTGGCCGCAAGTTGGACCTCAGGTGAAAGTTGCCTAGATGTATTTCACAGGCCTCTCCTAATGACATAATTGGCATCTGGGGTTGATTGCCTCTTTCTACCCAATGCAAACGAAACAAACCCTGCACAAGGGTTTAAATCCAGGAGAATCACTAAGGAGTGGAAAAAATACTGGATTTCTCCTCCTCCAAGGCCAAGGAAGAAAGGAAACCCCCAGCTTAAAGAAGCCTTTTCTACCTTAAACCTTCGGAATTTAAATGCAGGTTCTTTGATTTCTCTGGGTCAGAGGTGGCTTGAGAGGCCATGTCACAAGCCCTTGTACCAATGTCTTTAACCTAAGTCCCTGCATGTAGATCTTTGACAGCCATACCTATTGCTACATGGGTGATGCATGTCAAGTGGCTCTGTACAGACTATGTGGAAACTACCAGGCAACATCCCTATGGCACAAACACCTGCTGCTGCTACTGCCAACATGACTGGGGAAGGCACTATGAACCATAAAATCCTCCAATGTCCCACAACTATCAGGACAGAAGTGATCTCTGATAGGGGGACCCCATGCTGCCAGGGAACAGCGATGTCCCTGATGGATCTGTAGAGCAGCAAGGAATGCAGCAATCACAGGGTTAAAACAAATCAAACCCCCTATCATCAAATTCCAGACACTGATGTTATACAGCAAACAGCTCTGCTCTCTGACTGCTGAGCTGAGGGGCAGGGGCAGTCGATGCTCCTGTTAACATCCTGAAGGTATCAGAACAGAGCTCAACTCCAGGAAGCTCTGGATCCTGCTCCTGCTTCTGTTCCTGGATTCCTGAGCAGGAAACAACTATCCCCTGCCTCAGTTTCCACCACACAATATTTCAAAACCTATTTCATTCTTGATGGAAGACTGTTCATTTAGTAGTCTGGTGGCTAGTTGCTGCAGAAAGATTAAGCACCAGAAAAATCAAGCACTGCACCATGGTGTTTCAGTTATCTAAGATTAGCTATCTATCTCTCTAGAAGACATAGCAATCTTCGTATCTTCGAAACAGCTTCTTCCCCTGATCCAACCATGGAGGGGCTGACCTCTGCTCCAGGTATGAGGGGAGAAGGAGAAGGGCGTCTACTGCTGCTGCTGTTTTATCAGGCAGTCACTTTAAGATGGAAAGAGATGGCAACTTGGCCCTTCTAGCAGAAGAATTGCAGACACGGGGAGGCCTTTGTACTCGTGAACACTAGAATTTCATGTGATGTGCGACTCAAAGCCTGATTTACATGGGTATTGGTTGTGTGGTGATCTGATCGGGAAGGGAAGCAGTTAAGCAGAAAGAGAAACAGGGCATCTCTGGCCAGACACTAGTACTCCCAGTTTCTGTCCAGTTTCTATCCTGAATTCATAAATAATCATTGCTCTCCATTTCAGCAGACACAGGCGGCTAGTGATCAGCACCGCAGCAGCTGGCTTTTGGATCAGAGCAATTCATATTGTTATGATGCCCTCTGGTGACCACTCCTAGAATTTCACAGGGAAAACTGCTCCAGAAAATCTAACGCTGAGAAGAGAAGAAATATTTAGGGATTTTTTCTGCTTGATTTTGAATCGAGAACACACAACTGGTGGACACTGAAGACGACAGGAGGTTTCAGTGAGGGAATTACCAGCGACTTAATGTTATTAATTAATACTTAAATAGCAGTAGTGTCTATATTGAGAGAACTCAACCAGGCTGATGCTCCATTGTGTTACACCCTCAGTGATGATAAGCCAAACTACTCAGAGTGTAGGAAACCAGAAAGAAAAATGAAATAAGGCGGGTAGACTGGATTTTGAGAATATATAAAAAAAATGCAGAACTGATATCATCAAGAGTTGAGGGAGGTGATAACACAGGAGGTCCCAGACACGGGGCAAATGAGGTCACGTGGTGCCTCGATGCCAAGATGAGAAGCTCCAGCTGATTCACAAGGAGAGTCAGTGCTGGACACTGCAGAGATGGGTCACTGGTTGCTAATCTAACCAAGAAAGATTATTGGAGGGTCTACAATTTGGACAGACTTCGGAGGGCTGGGTCAAGGTGTGGATGTCAATCAGAGCAGAGAGAAGGTTGCAATAATGATGCCAGAAAATGGCTAGGGACTGGACGAGGAGGTTACTTGCTGGGACAAAGACAAAGGGTTGAGTTTTCAGTATGTGGTGAAGGAACAGCTGGATCTAGCAACATACAACAGAGGGAGTCACAGGTTAGATGGGTGCAAGCCTAGGAGGATGATGGTGTTAAATAACAGTGAATGAGGGAAGCAGAAGAGATCTGAGTCAAAATAAGGCACTTGGTTTTAGTCATCTAAAACCATCAGCCTTGGGCAGTGACCTTGGAATTGGGTCCAGTGACAATGACCGCAGTGTCACAAAAGACCGTGACTTTAGGGTGAAACAAGCAACAGAGGGAGATGATTAAAGCAGAGGTGGGCAATTGTTTTGGGCAGAGGGCCACTTACTGAGTTTCGGCAAGCCATCGAGGGCCGCATGACAAGCAGCCAGGGGCAGATAAATATTAATTTTCTAAATTTTCTAAATTTTTTAGGGGCCCTGTGGGCCAGATAGAATGGCCTGGTGGGCTGCATCTGGCCCACGGGC